TGGCTCTCTCCTAAGAACTAAAAAACAAACAGCAAGGCCTCTTTCTTCTTTTAGCCAAAGCAGAATGGCCAAACAGGAAACTGATGCTCCCCCTCCCCCCACATATACACACATACCAACCCTGAAGGCCAATACTTCCTTCTCCCAGCTGCCCTTGCAGCTGTCCAGGACTTTTTAAAGACAGCTCTCCAAAAATATTCCAGGGAGACTTGAGTGACTCTAATAATCTCTCTGCACAGAAGACACCTTTGATTTGGGGGAAATGATACTTCTTCTTGACACCCCATGTTACCCAAGCTACTGTATCTTTTAAAACCTGTATCTCTGATGTCCACAGTCACTGGGTTGGTGGGCAGAAATTCCCATTTCTTTAGCCTCTGATCTGACCTTGGGGAGGCTTGTGGATAGACCCTCCCGGAAAACCCAGGTAGATCCTTTTGGGATGTGGCTCCAGATGAGGCTTCCAATGTGGCCTGTGTGCTGACCTGCCCTGATATACCCAGGCCACTTCCTTTCCTGGCAGGATCATAGGGAGGCCTTCTCCTTCCACTTACCACTTCTTTCATTGGGAAGGTCAAAGAGAAACTGGTGAGATCAGAGTTTTTTTGAATAAGTTTTTAAAAAATGAAGTTGACTTTGCTTCTGCTGGTATCCATCCTTGATTTATACAGAAGTGATTAACCAGGGCGCAATTATAGAATGACAGACTTTCTTAGGCCTAAGCATTTGGACATCAGTTTGAACCCACTTCTTGTTTTTAATAATTATTAACACTGATTGTCCATTTACCATTTGTCATCCATTGTGCTAGCAGCTTTATTAACATGTACTATCTTGTTTAACCTTCAAATTATGAAAATGATTTTCTATTCCCATTTTACACACCAGAAAACTGAAGATAAAAAACAGTTAATTGATTGGCCCAAGATCATGCAGCTAGTGAATGGTTGATCCGTGATTCTAAATCAATTTGGCCTGAGTTACTCTCTAATAAGGTACTTCCTTCAGGCAGTCCAGCAGGCTATATATAAAGGAAAATACCAGGCATGCCATTGTGATTGATGGGGTCCAAAAGACTACGTGTTGGGAAGATTGACAGCCCAGTGAGCGGAGAAAATAGCATGTCAGAGCCCCACATTTGGAAAAGTTAATTCCTTAGGCTTTACATCTTTATCTGGTCTGGGATCACCTGTCCTAAATATCTGAATTATTTTCATGAGAGACACTGTTTCCACCCCAGCACTGCAGGGAAACCTCATTAAGCCGTTCCAGATCTGCCCAGTTTATATTAATCTCTCCATGTCCCATTCCTTCCTAATGGATTCTTTTCATCCCATTATTTCTTGCTCAGCCTATCTTTTCTTCAAAACTGTAAGCTCCCAGGAATGAAGTCTGGGTATTAGCCATCTCCCCACACCTAACCCCATTTCTAATCTGTGCTTGACATTCCTCTGTTACAATGCAAAGCTGACCCAGCTGTGGCTTCCCTCACAAGTCTCCTTTGACTTAGGCCATGCCTGAAAGATTCTTTTCTTCTCTAGTTTCTGTAGCATGTGTAGGCTAGCAGTTATACCTGAACTTGTTTCCTTTCATAAAGATGCCTTTTTTTTTTTTTTTCCCTGCTGACAAATGATGCTGAAAGCTCTTCGGGGACTAGGGCTGTATCTTCTGCTTTTTACTTTGATAATACACTTTCAGCCTTACACACACACACACACACACACACACACACACACACTCTGTGGGCCACCATCCCCGTAAATCTGAGTGAGGATAATCCTATCCTGAGTGTCATTCTTGATCCTTCTGTCTCTGGGAGGGCTGGGCCTCCTGGGCTTTAAGGCCTCCATTCATTCGTTTGACAATCTTTTTTTTTTTTTGTAGATGAGGAGGTAATTAGATTTATTCACTTATTTTAATAGTGGTACTGCGGATTGAACCCAGGAGCTCATGCATGCTAGGCATGCACTCTACCACTGAGCTATACCTTCCCCCTCATTTGACAACTTTTCTTGAGTGTTTGTTTCGTGTGAGATGTTGGGGGTACATAGATAAGTAATAAGGCCCTTGCCCTCAGAAAACTCAGAGTCTGATGAGAGAAACAGATATACAATTAGATGATGAATATGCAGATATGAGAAGTACTGTGAAGGCTCCCCAGAGAAGGTGGGAATGAGCTGAATTTGAAAGGAAAGGAGGAATAAAAAGTGCTGGGGTGAGGTGGAGGCCTTTTCAGGCAGAGGAAGCAGCTTACTCCAAAGTGAGAGTATGCAGCATTCAGAGAACTACACACTCTCAAATGTGAGAAGAGTGAGACTAGTCAGAGAAGTAGGCAGGGGCCAGATCACAAAGTGCCCTTTGTAGCACGCTAAGGAATTTGATCTTATCCTGCAAGTCAGGAGCCTCTACTGAAAGATTTTATGTAAGGAAGTAATATCATCAAATTAATGGTGTGGTTAAAGTATTCTGGCTGCAGTGTGGAGAATACATTGGAATGAGGCAAGACATGGGAGGAAGACTGCAGGGGCTGGGAGACTGATTAGGAGTTCACTGCAAGAATCAGGATAAGTGACAGTAGCATGAGCCAAGGTAGTGACCGTGGGAGTGGAGAGAGTAGATGAATAAGAGACATATTAAGAAAGTAGAATGGGGGGAGGTGGGTATAGCTCAGTGGTAGAGTACATGCTTAGCATGCACAAGGTCATGGGTTCAATCCTCAGTACCTCCATTAAAAAAAAAGAGAGAAAAGAAAGTAGAATAACAAGACTTGGTGACTAATTGGATTTGGGAGGTGAGGGAGAGAGAAGAATCAAGAATCACAATCAGATTTCTTACTTTTGTGATGGAGTGGTGCCTCTGTGGAGATTTGCAACATAAAAGGAAGAACAGGTATTTTATGCGGAGTAGTGAGGATGGGGAGAGGTGACTTTTGGACATGGTAAGCTTGAGGTGTCTGTTGGACATCCAGGTGGAGATATCTAGAGGCAGTTGATATAAAGGTCTGATACCCAGGAGGTGATCAGAGCTGTAGATATTGGAGAGTTAGTTCAGTGCATATAGAAGATAACTGAAGTCATGAGAACAGATAAGATCACCCAGAAGCAGTGTAGGGTGAGAAGATGGTGCAGGATTCCACCATCTAAGGAATAAGCTGAAGAGTCCTTGATGGAGACTGACAAGCCAGAGAGATAGGAAGCAATGTTGGAAAAGGAGACCTAACGGACTTTGAGGTTTCAAGCAGCTGTTTTATGACTTTCAGCCACATGATGGGGGAAGGAACCAGTTTTCAGTGAATTGAAGAAAGATGTAGATGTTAAAGTTCAATGGATATGCATATTTGCTGAAATTCATCCAGCTGTATACATATCATTTATGCATTTTTACTGTATGCAAATTATACCTCAATAAAGTACTCAGCATAAACATTTTGTAAGAAATAGTTGAACATGATCATATGCTGGGAAAAGAGAAAATTGAGGGGAAGAAATTAAGGGAGAGAAGAGAGAAGGAAGGGGGAAAAGTTCTGAGGTGGAAGAGATAAGGTTTGGGCAGGTGGAAAGATTAGCTTTAGATAGGAGGAGTGATTCCTCTTTCACTGACAGGAAGGAATGAGGAGGAAGGGATGTTTATGGAAGCAGGTAAGTTGGGTAGGGGATAAGGTAGAACGTTGAATTTCTCTGTAATACTTCTTTTCCCTTGAAACTGGACACCAAATGTTGTGGTTTTAGAAATACGTCTACAGATCCTTTGACATTCCTCCCTGAAAAAAGTGGAACTTAATTTTCCTCTCATTTGAGTCTACACTGGACTAATTTCTAATGAATGGACTATGAAAGAAATGATATGTTATTTCAGAGATTAGGACTGCCATGTTTGTCTTGATAGGGTAACAAACCATCCTGATTTACCTGGAACTGAGAGATTTTCTGGGATGCAGAAATCTCAGTGCAAAAATCAGGATAGTTCTGGGACAATCAGGATGAGTTGGTCATCCTAGTCTTGAGCTTATTCTTTTCTCTCTTTGATTATTCACTCTAATAGAAGTTAGCTGCCATGTTGTAAGCTGCTCTAAAGAGAGGCCCACATGGCAAGAAACTAAAGGAGACCTATGGGCAACAGCCACATAGGAATTGAGCCTTCAACCCAATAGCCCAGGAATAACTGAGACCTACCAACAACTACATGAGTGATCTTGAAAGCAGATCCTCCCTCAGTTAAGCCTTCAGATGAGACTGTAGCCCCTCTGGACAGCTTATAACTTTATAAGATAACTTGACCCTGAACCACCCAGTTTCTGACCCACAGAAACTGTAAGATAATGTTTGCTATTTCAAGTTTCAAAGTTTTGAGGTAATTTGTTACACAGAAATAGATAACTAATTCATCAGATCAATGAAGATGAGGGGGAAGTGGTGTGATAGGTTTCCAGGGCCTAGCATGGTTGGATGACTTTCTCCAGCAGCCCTAGACAATGCCAGACAATGTGCTTGTCCACTTTGCATGCCATTCATATTATGCAGTGTCCAACAGTATCTTTTTTCCCCCAACAATATATTTTGATAAAGGAATTTTGCCAGTATCTTATTTAGCTTTCTTACTGACCATATTTATCATTAACACTATGACTGACTTTAAAAGCTTTTCGGCAAAAATGTGTCCTCCTGCTTTGCCTATAAAAGTGGATAAAGTATAGCTTTATAGTTTTGATCACTTCTCTTATCTTTAGGGAGAAATTTTATCAATGTTATATTAGGAACCACTGTTCTCTAGGTTTTTTTCTTCCTTTAGAAAAATTCTTTTTATCAGATTGGCCACTGAGCTTTTTTGAAAAATGGCACTAAAGCTTCATTGTCTTTATGCCACTATTTGATCAAGTTTCATAACGTGTGTAATGAAACATATATAATGTACTGGGAACCAGGGGCAAATAGACTACCAGTTTAATAAAACATAAGTCTTAGAATCTCATTGTATGTCTTATTAGTACTTTTCTTTTTCAGGTGCTCATCATAATTCATTGCACTTGTGGATCACCCTATATTTATATGCACTGGATCCTGGGCAATGTTTAACTTACAACTTTTTTTCTGTGTTTAAAAGTATTCAGCATCCTGAATTAATTAACTTTCAACTAACTGATGTGAGTTATTGATCCATTTTTGTGAGCTGAAAATAAAATGTAACACAATGAAATCTCAAATTTAACATATAAACAATAACACATATTACAAAATAATACATTAGTTCAATTACAGGTCTTCATTAAGAAGAAATGTTTTAAGAACTGAATGTTTTAAAGTTTCATCTGTGTTGTAGATTTTCTTTTTGTTGCCAAAAATATTCCATTGTATGGATATACCACATTTTGTTTAACCCTTCATCAGTTGATGAATATTTGGGTTATTTGCACTTTTTGGTTATTATGCATTATGCTGCCATGAATTCATGTACAAATTTCTGTGTGGACATATGTTTTCAGTTCTCTTGGGCATATACCTTGGAGTGGAATTGCTGGTTAATATGGTTAAGATAGTAACTATAGAAATATAGTTAACATATTTAACCTTTTGAGGAACTGCTCGATTTTCCAAAGTGGCAGCACCATTTTACATACTCACCAGTGGTGTTCCATCCTTCTCCAAACTTGTTATAATAAAAACTGTCTATTTTATCATTGTAAAAACTGTCAAATATATTTAAATTTTTATTTGGAAATAATTTTCAATTTAAAGAATTGCAAAGATAGTACAGAGTTCCAATTCTATATCCTTCACTCAGCTCCCCTCAACGTTAGACAACCAATATTTTGAGAAAGATAGAAATAATAGCAAGAGACCAGCTCTGGTCTTTCTTGTCCTAGGTATATATTAGTAGCTTTGGCCAGTCAAAGCAAAGGCTTTATATGTAGACATTCTGACTTCAAATGGTTTGACTTAGAATTTTTGGACTTTTACCATGATGTGAAAGTGATATTCATTCAGTAGGAACTGTACTTCTTTTCCCAACCTAGTGATATGCAGTATGATACTCTCTTCTGATGCTGGGCAGTGCAGCAAGCCACAGCTCCCAGTCAGTCACATGATCACGATTGTAAACAACCAGCATACTTAAAACCATTCTATACCCACACAACCATTGTTTTTCACTTTCAGTACAGTAGTTAATAATTCACACGAACTATTCAGCACTGTTTTTAAAATAAAATACGCTTTGTAAGTGTTCTGAGCACTTTTTTCCACTTATTTTTCAGTTTTATTAGGTAGAATTATTACAATTTGATTGCATATATACAATAAATTGCATGTAAATACATATACACAATATACTGCACATATTTTTTAAAATTTACATATATGTACTGTTCATTGTTTCTAAAAACAGTTTAGAGCTTTAACTTTTTAAACTTAGTTAACAAAGGGATAAAGCCAACCACAAAATAAGAATCAACAGAATGCAGTAATCTAATCTTAAAGGACGGTCAAATACCGAGCACATTTAATTAAGGTAGGCTACACCAAGCTATAATGCTCAGTAGGTTAAATGTATTGAATGCATTTTTGACTTAACGGTATTTTCAAATTACAAGGGGTTTTGGGGAGGTAAGTCAAGGAGGTAAGTCTGTATAGAGACAGAAGTCAGCGATAAGAGGGTCACATTGTGGTACCGGAGATAAAATCAGGAGGTTTTTGTTAAGGAGACAGATCCTGTTAACGAGGTCAAATTCGGGGAGTAGGGGAATACCTGACAAACCGCACCACTGGTGGTCTCATCACACTGCTGCATGGTTTGGTTGTTTTCTAATCCTAGTGGGTTGTTTTCTCTCCAACCAAAACTTTCTTAAACTCGTGAAAGGTTCAGGCAGTGCTTTGAAAGTCTCTCACACCCTCCGCCCTTACCCAACAGCACTTACTGAAACTCCTCAACCACATTTCCCGTAGCTAAGAAGACACGCCCCACCAGAGGAGGCAAGGCCGGGCGACACCTACAGTGCCACACCCAGAACCGCGGCCGGACTTGAACACGCCGTCCACTCAGGGGCCGCTTCTGCCCTCAGACCTGGAGACTCGGCTTCCTATTGGCCAGGTGTGCACCAGGGCCCGCCTTCCGGATGGTAGAGGGCGGCCTCCTACTTTACCCTGAGGGGCCGCCTCCTTGTGGGGCCGCGGGGCTGAGCGCGGGAGGTGGGCTCAGGTCGGTTCTCAGCAAACAAGGTTTGGGGTACAAGAGCCCTCTTACAGCGAGGCCAGGCCAAGCGGCTGGACTAGGACGGTCCCAAGGCCCTTTGTCTGCTCTCCGCAGGGAAGGGGCGGGGCCGTGCCGGTTCCGCCCCGGAAGCGGAAGTGCGGGCGCCGCGGGGTCCTGTCCCTTGTGAGCTCGGCCCGTGCGGCAGCCGTTCCTCCCGCGGGTCACATCGCGCTGTCTCTTCTGCCCATAACTCCTCGCCGACCCCGCCATGCTGTCTCTAGATTTTTTGGATGATGTGCGGCGGATGAACAAGCGGCAGGTGAGGTTGGCCGCCCACTGTTCCCCTTGTCCCTTCGACGCTGCCACTGCGGTGCCCCGCGGACCTTTGGGCCCCAGTGTGAGGGCCGGAGCGGGTCTGGCGCCTGGATTAGTTCATCTCTTTGTGGAGTCTGTGGCCAGAGGTAGCTTTATCCACCTCCTATTTTTAGCCCCTAGCTGTTATCGTGTCTTCTGGGGGCGGAGCGGGAAGCCTAGTCCTCACGTTCCATTTCCTCCAACGACGCTGGGGAGCAAGTGGAAAATGTAGGGCGCTTTCTAAGTGGGAGTTGGGGTTGCTTATTGTTTTAGACTTGATTAGGCAGCGTACTCACGGTTTCTCCAGTCGCGGCGACTTCCAGTGGATTCCGGCCACTAGGTTTAGCAGTTCACTTCTACTCCAGCTTCTGGGATGCTCGGGAAGCGGTTGTCGGCCCCACAAAAGCCGTTTTTCCTGCGTTCAGCCCGTTGCAACCCTTCTAGTACAGCTGGGCCCTAGCGGGCTGTACTGACTTTCTTGAAACACCTCTTGAGTTCAGAGTTGAAACAGTTACTCCTCTTACCCTTGAGTCCACTTAGCATTAATTGGTGGCAGCCCTCAGAATCCTCGGGTATATCCCCCAATATTAGTGGCACAGGGATCTTGAAATTTAGATCTCCTGATTTTTGTCCTTAAACCTTACTCTGTCTTGAACTTACAGATCGTAGTCCGAATGGTACTGGGAATATTGTTGTAATGATTTAGTGATTGGAAAAAATTGCTCCGTTTTGTCTTCTCACCTAGTTTTGCTTGCCTCAGACCTTTTTACAGTGTCTCGCTGTTAAGAATTATCCTGATGTCACTGTTAAAGATTTCTCTCTTGGACTTGTATTTTGCACTGTTTATGACTACCATTTAGGGGAAAAGATATGCAGCCTCCTCTTACCTCACTTCAGACCTTAGTTAGCTCATTGTCACCTCTTCTTAGACATGTTTCCTAATTCTTTCAGTCAGAATTGATCATTCTTTTCAAATTGCACAAAACTTTTATGTCTTTATGATAACATTTCAGGTTCTCACTTGTATAGTGTTATTTTCATCCATATCTGAATTTCTAGGTACCACAGACATTTCTCTGAAGAAATTCTTATTTTGGGCCTAGTATTTATTGTACCCGGTGGTAGGTACAATGAGAGAGATGCAGATATAAATAAGACAGACTCTGCCTTCAAGGAGCATGAATGTGTAGAAAAGTACTAAGAGCTCTTGTGAGCTTTTGTTATGTGTGAATTGCTTTATATACCTGTGAGGTAGATAATGTTATGCCCATTATACAGATGAAGAAAACGAGCAACCTCCCAGAGGTTGTTAGGAGAGGATGGGAAGGATTGGATAGCATGGGGATGGGGTGAGAGTAAGTTATGAAATAAGGTTTTACCTGCACATAATATCTGGGGAAAACAATTGATAGTGACTGTGTGAAATCAGATGAAAAGAGGGAAACTGGAAGTTTGATTTTATTCCTCTAAAATTGCTGTCATTTGGGTAACTTTTCCATTTATGCTTAAATATATATCATCAAACATCTGATTTGTTTGTTTGAGTTGTAATTTTTTTTTCTTATCAGGTTCATAGAGGAATACTTTGGTACAATAAATTCCATCCATTTAAAGTGTATCATTTGATAAGTTTCTACAGTTATATATGCAAATTACAATCAAGATACAGAGCATTCGTATCACCCACAAGATCCCTTGTGTACCTCTGTAGTTCATCTCTCTAGCACTTGGCAACCACTTAATTTGCTTTTTGTCAGTATAGATGGGTTTGCGTACTTTTTTTGGTGGGGGGAGTTGGCGTTTTCTACAAATGGAATCAGAGTGTGTATTCTTTTGAGCTTTGAGATTTAATTGATTTTTAACACCTTATTCAAGACTTTTGTTTATTATATGTAATTTTTTTGGTCTACTTCACAATTTTCAAAGTTAAAGTGTTTCACTACCTTCACAGCATCCAGTACACTGTTGCCAAATTAATTTCTTCTCTCCTGCCCTCAAACCTTCTGCAGTTTCCGTAGGTTAAAGCCCAAACCCCTTAGAATAGCATTTGCAGTAAGTCCCAGTCATTTTACAGTTTGCCATTTCTCACTGTTTCAGTCTTGTCCCAGTTTACTTTTCCTGCCTATTACATGTCACTGTGTGTATGAACATTGTTCTATTCAAACTGTGCACTTAACTGTCTTCAGATCTCGCCTTATATTCTTTGTGGACTGCCCTAAACTATTAGGTGATCTCTAAAGTCCTTTTAGCTGTTATATACTATTTTATTTGTCTTCTCCCCTTTGGAGAGTGGCTCTTTTACTGGAGTATCAGATCACAGTTTTCCTGAGGCTTGTCTTAATCCATGAAGCCCTGATTTGTAGTTTGCCTATTTCTGTGGTGTGAATATTCCAACGTGGCTGATTTCAAGCTACTACCATGATATCACTGAATATGGAATTGGGAAGAAATGTGGTAGCATGCAACTGTAACGTCCACCTTATAGATAAAATTTTTAAAATAATCTCAAGAATACAGATAATAGTAAAATGTAGTAAAATAATTAAGAACTGATGAATTTAGAATACATATTACCTTTGTTTTTAATAAAACTTAATTGTATTAATTTTTAATAATACTGTTTATCAGCTGGCTTGCAAGATTCCTAAAAATTTAGCAAATTAGCTCCAGCACACCTCTGGTTGTAGGTTAATTTCTTGATGCCCATTGAGGTGGCCTTTGTATGCAAAAAAGTCTATTTAGAATTATCTTATATTAAAACTTTTTTTAATTTGTAAAAGCTAAAATTTTAAAACTTTTTAGAATTAGTTTACAAATCTTATCCTATTTAAAGTCTAGCATATTTTAACAATCACTTTTATGGTCCTTTGGATATTTAGGCTAAAAAACAAACAGGCATCTTAAAAACATTAATTTATGAATTTAAATAATTTCCTTTTTAAGAATATATATTATTCAGTAAACATCACTACATGCTTATATTGTTTTTATAAGTCTGGAGCTTAGCTTCTCTCAAATGTTTCAACATTTGAATATAATGAAATAATATAATAAATAAAATAATAAATCTACAACAATTTATTATACAGTTAAAATTGGAATTACAAACCTGACCTATTACTTTAATAAGCCGAATTCTCTTAAATTTTACAAAACTTGAAAGACCAAATATGCACGGAGTCCTTAACATAAAAATATTAACACTAAACGTAATTCTCTTTAAGTATTTCTGTTCTAAATTATAAATTTTCCTGGGGTCAAAGATACTCGCTAAATAAGTATGTCATGCCAAATAATTTTTGTATTATTTTTTGCATATAATTCTCTGCTTGCTCAGAATTCTTATGACCAGAGGATATTGGCCAGCATGTGATTAGATCCATGTTTGAGCCCTGATGGTACTAATCTGACTTTCACAGAACTTGCTTATTACCTCCTTGTTAGGCTTCTTGCATTGCTTGATTGAATTTTGCATTTCTTTGGATTTTAATCAACTATGTATCATCCTGCCTAAACCTGAAGACCTTAGGACTTGGCACATTCCTTCATTCATTTTACATCTTCCTGTCTCTTAGGATCACTTAACTCCTAATGGCTATTCTAGTGATATCTTATTGAATTCCGGATATCTTTGGTAACTTTTTTTTAAATGAATTGGTCCTCTAGTGAAGCACACAGAAACCTGGGAGATTTTTCTTAGACTTGAACCTAATGTGAGTAAGTGTGCAGTGAATAAGAGGTGTGTACGACACAGAGCATAGATGCATTACTTTTTTTGATTATTGAAAACTAATCTGCTCCTGTTTAGGATCAGGAAAATCTTTATCACTTGCAGGGAATCAGTGTTCAGTAGTGAATTGCTAAGTTTCAATGTAGGAGCATCAATCTCCATTATATACGCAAGGAGTTAGCAAGTAAAATTATATCATCAACTGCACTTACTATCCATGGGTATGTTCTTGAGCTTCCAGGAATCATTCTTTATCCTTTGTAACACTGAGCAAATCTAGAATACAGTGCCATAGTAAGGATTAGGCATTTACTTGGAATGGTTCCTATATACTTCATGTTTTTTCCCCCGTAATATTCTCTCCATGGACATACAGACAAGCATGATTATTTATTCCCATGCCAGATGGCACAAGCCTCCAGTAGGGCAAACCCTACTGAGATACAGCCAGAAATTATGACCATAACTCTTCTTCAAAGAGTTGTCTTTTCTGACTTCAAGGAAGGAGATGAGATAGAGTATCCAAACACAGATGTTCAAAGGGACAGAATGTTTTGTCTGAAGAATATGGTTTATTGGTTAGAGTTTAGTCTGGGAGGCAGAACCACTATGAATATTATGGAATTAAGGGATTTATTATAGGAATGAAATTTTATACAATTGTAGAAGAAGCTGAATAAGTAAAAGTCTAAAACTAAGAGATGAAGAATCAGAGAAATATTGCCCACCAGATCTGTGTATAGACAAATCTGTGGAATTGGGGGCTAGATTCCACATCTGGCTGATGGAGTGAGACCACATCAAAGGAGAGTAGATGAAGTCTGTGGAAGGCTGTTGCCTCTGCAGCTAGTTTCTGATTGTGGAGCAGGGAAGAGCAAGGACAAATTGGATTCTGCCAGGCCTTTAATGTCTGTTTCTTACCATCTCTAACCACAGTGACCTTCAGCATAATAGCAGCTGCTTCTCTTTCACCTTCTAGGTCTTGGACAGATTTCTCTCTTTTGCCAAATCTAATCCAGAACCATACAGGGAGGGAGATTTGGGGAAACCTAGTTCTAGCTTCCCCGATTTGGCAAAACTTCTGTAATTTTCAGTACTACTGTAGTCTACTCTTTGTCAGTTCGGCATTTATTCACACCTCTTAATCATATTTAACTTTTTGAATAAAGATAAAAACAAAATTATACTTCCGTCTAATATGCAGCTATCCTTTGTTTCTGTAATTGGTCACATGG